ACTGCCACCACTGTCATCACCACCAACAATGCCTTTGCAACCATTGTCATCACCACCATTGTTGCCACTAGTGCTGCCGCCACCACCTCAAATGCCACTACTCTTAACATATTTGTAAAATATGGTAGAAACTAGCTACATTATGGAGTAGTGCCCAGGTGCACCTGACGGGGGTGTTGGGCTTGAGTTGGGGGCTAGATTTGATAATGGTGCTATTGAAGGTGTAGTTGAAGTTGAAAGAGAAGTGCAGCTACCTAAACATATCATGGACAAACACTTTCAGAAGATGGTTTTAAGAACCAAAGAGAAGGCCATTCACACGACTCTAGAGTCTCTCAAGTGGGAAGGCCCAAAAGACATGATCTGAGAGATCCCACTATGTCGATTGACTCAGACAAGTATTATTTGGTATACTTCACCTCACTTCGTCAATATAGACATCTATAGTCTATCTAAACAGAATAGCCTTGAAACAAACATAAGTATGTTCCTTGTTTTGGTGTTCAAGCCAAGAACGACAAATACCCTCTTAGTGTATTTGAAAATCAAGAGGGTTTGAGATGACATTTGGAAAATTAAGTCCTGCAAATTTGACAAGATGCTTATGAGCCATCCTGAGACTCAACAATTTATGGGGAAAATATTCTACATTATTGATGGGAATCATCACTAGTGTGTATGGATGAAATGCATCAATGAATGGTTCTAAGATAATCTTGTCTATCACATCAATGTTTTGATTGGACATGTACACACGAGAGGATCTCTAGATATGGCAAGGCTTGTGATAGCTTACCACAAAATTAATGTATAAATACCTCTCCCTCTTCAATCACTTTTAACAATTTGTGTTTTGCAAGATAAGACAGTTTGCAATGCAGAAGAAAAGCCTAGTGCATGATATCAAGCAAATTCAATTTCTTGCCAATCTCAATGAGGATGCAATCTATAGCCACTATAGTGACAATTTAGCATCACTTATTCAGCATCAACGAGATCATCAAGATGCTAATAAATGGTACAAGTGGAGTAAGGTATGTGTAAGCAATTAAAGAGAATAATTTAAAAGATGATCCATAGAGGTTCAAATATAGAAGGAAAGGGCCCATGAATAAGAGTGCACCCCCATTTCCAATCGGTTAAGGTTTCTGGGATACTTGGGGTTAAGCATCTTGGTTTGAATAGTACTGGGCTGAGTGACCTCTTGGGAAGACCAAATTCAAGAGTTTATAGTATGTTCTTCTCAATATACATTTTATCACTGAATGTTTGTGTTGTCTTCAGTTATTGGTGAAAGTTAAGCAAGATGCATATGCACAATTGCATCGAGCTAAAAATGATCAAGAACTCTCAGAGCATTTAGCCACAATTGACAAGAAAATCAACATCACAAAGAAATTATTCAGTGTGGCCGACCCTCGACTCCCAAAGAAGTGGTTTGACATCATAACAGAGATTATTTATCATAAAAGTAAGTATTATCTATGTTTACTTGAAGGTTACTCATAAATGTTGTTTCTTAGCGGACAAGACTCTAGATGAAATTATTTACAACATCTCAAAGTCAAAGCTTACATATGAGGAGCAGATACACATTCTAAATGACCTTAATACCAGACTCAGGGAAGGAGAAAAAGGTTTAGACAATATGATGGAGATTATGAGGAGGAGGACCATCTATATTTCACAAATTATATATAAAGGAGATATGTTTCTAGCGTATTTTATAGGGGATGATCCTGAGCAACTTCCATTCAAAGACTTTGTCACCACTAAGTTTACAAAACTCAAAGATGACTAGCTGCTAAAGAAGGCCATAAGCACAACTCCATTTGATAAATAGCTTGGCCAACCTTACTTCATGCGGTGAGTAGCTTTCAGGTAACATATAATTTCTCAACTATACTCAATTTGTTTATATTCTATTGTAGGTATCTTTGATATAGAGGTATTCCTTTTGAAACACCAGTATGTAATTGACCCTTGATGCATGGCGTGAGAGATGGAGACATGTAATTGACAACAATGAAGTTTCCAGTAGTGATAAAGCAAGCTTGTCCTTGGGAATTGGAGATGCTAGATTATATGCCAACCCATCAAGAGGTTGCAAGAGGCAACAATGAAGATGTGCCAAATGACGAAAATGATGGCCATGAGAATGTCAACATTATCGGTGCCAATAGTAAAGAGAGTAAAGATGACTAATTCCTCAAAATAGTTGTAGCAAAAATTATTGGGAGCAACTTCATTCTAGCTCGTCTTGATGCCTAAGAAGAGGACCTAGAGCAATTTATATTTACCACATGCCACATGACAGTATGTAAATTTTTCTTAATTTCACATCTTATCTTTGTCTTCTCGCCCTAGATTTATCTTGTTTCTTCAATGGCATTCCATAGTGAATTTGGGATCTTTATTGGCTCCTACAGTTCATTAATGGCATCTTTCAAGGAGGATGTTGAGAATATGGCTATCCAGCAAAAGTGGGAGCGCTTTTGTTAGAAGATCCATAGGCAACTGCTCAAGAGTATAAATTTCATGCTCTTTGACATGCCAGATGGTCTTCTAAACGCTGATGGTGATGTCCCAAGCTGGAACATCCTAACTGAAGACCACTTGAAGAATGCTTCTAATAGCAATTCTCCTTCACACAACTAGTCAAATTACCTTCATTCTCCCGAATGACCCCTATTAGTTATCCTACTCATGAGATATGCAACTTGAGTCAACTTCAAGAGGTTCTCTTCCAAGTGCATCATGGATAGTGTTGGGGTTGAGACTAAATGCATCCTAGTGATGCTAGAAAAGGTAAAAAATCATCTTGTATTTTGGGTTGTCTCTAAAGTTTAATTATTTAGGTTATGATATGGATTTACCATATATTCTGAAAAAGAGGAAATGAAGGTTTTTGTGATAGCGAATGTGTTATACAGGTTTTGCCAGGGCATGATAGCTCTATTGACATCATACCAAATCTCATAAATAATGACATTCGCAACACATTATCTGGGTATCGGTTCTAATCTCCATCAATGATGCATGTCTTATTTGAGCTTTATTGCCCAACTAAAGGTGTTGTCATTGATTACAAAGTAGGTAGTGGTTCAATGGTCAAGGTAGCATATGACTTTAGTAGATCAGTGTTTGCAATTGAAGAATATGAGTTCTTTAAATGCCGTCTTTAGAGGTTTTCATCCTTCTCTATCAGTTGCTTCTAGGAGGTAATTTATGATGTTTTAAAAACTTATATGCAATATATATCTAGTTTTCTAGAAGTCTTCTTAGGTATGCATGGCACAACATATGCAATATAACTCTTCCCCTAAATTGAGAAGGAATTGTATAAAAAATCTATTTATTGATGATACATTAAAAGATAGTTGAATGCATCCACTTGTAATAAGAAAAGAATGTCACATGTCAATGTGATAATGATAGTGACAATGACAATGTCAGTGTTAGTGTCAAAGATAGTGATAGTGACAGTGTCAGTATTAGAGATAGTTACAGTGTCAATCTATCAAATTTCATAATTACTAATATTATGAATTTATTACTTATATAGAAGGAGGGATAGATAATATTATAGTGTGAGAATTATTAATAGCTAGAACTTCAGTAGGGTGGCTTAAAAGTACCATATTTAGTATTTATGGATGTAATATTTATTAATGAAATATTGTTCCTCACTATAAAGCGATAATGGTTATGAGTTCTTAGCTCTTTTTGAATTTTCTTATACATCCATTTATGCACACCTTCCACACCAGTTTTTGGGTAATTGTGACAATGTTCTAGAAAAGTTTTTAAACCCATGTAGCCTTTTGTTTTATCCAAATAAAAGTACTATATAGGACATTAAAGATAATTTATATTCATTCTTTCAAAAGTTTCACAAAATCTTGAAGAAACATTTAGCATCACTCTTGAAACACATGAGTCAATCCATCTTTAGTAGCAATATCTAAAACATTATTTAGAAAAGGGATATTTTATTCAGTCATACTTGGGACTACAAAAGAAAGAACCTCACAACAATTATTATATAGAAAGAAGGGTGGAATGTTGGTAGACATTGGAAATGGAGGTGGAGACTTATATAAAATATATAGGGGCCAAATGCAAATAGCAATAATAGTTTCTTTAGCCATTCTTACACTCTAAACAAACTAAATTTTTAATGTTGAAAGCATCTCTTGTCAATATTTATATTAAGAAAAAATTTAAAGGTTTTTGAAAGTTTAGATTGTCAGTCTTGAAAATGAGACTTCAAAATTATATAAAGACATTATTATATATGACGAAGTGTTAACTACAACATTCCCAACTTGATTTGCTTTAACATATTTGGCTCCGCACAAAGCAAAAAACTTTAGAAATAAACGCCAAATTGCATCATCAACTTAAATGGCCATTGAGAAAAATGATGCAATTGTTAAAAAGCATCATCATAATTGTCAACATGTTTAAATACATGTTTAAAAATGTTTAGAAGAATGCTCTAATTCTCATGAGTGAGTGCATTCAAACTATTATATCATTGCAATGCCATTCCTTGGAGACATATAGGAAATTTATGCAAATGCCAAGCATCATCCCAAAAATGATATATGGTAATCACTGTAAAGTGATCAAACCAATATTTTAAATATTTTAATATTTTTAAATTTAGCTAAATAATTTAATTTTTATTATAATGAGTACCATAAATTAATTATGACAAAATAACGTTTTGTTTTTAATATTTCATACTCAAGATTTACATATAGATTATAATACTTATATTTGACAGCCAAAGATCTACAAAGGTTTCTTGATTGTTATTTTGTTTGTCTATAATAAAATTCAGATGTTGTAAGCATTCAACATTGGATGCCTCTTAGTTGTGCCTGACTTAACAATTCTATCATCTCCTTGTAGTAAATGCGGAGGATACCTCGCTCTGGGAGTGATCCCAATGTTCTTGACTTATTGTAAGGAAGAAGGCATCAAACAAACACACAAAATTCATATGGAGTGCTCCCGACTTTTTGGATCCTTGCTTCTCAAGAAACCAATAGTTAGCTAGGGTTTAGGTATGGCTGCTTCAGCTACATCGAGGCCCTGGCCGATCTATCTCTACGTTCCCAATCTCATTGGTATGCACGATTCGCTTGATCGCCTCAATCTCTACGTTTTATTTTGTGGCAGGGTACGCGAGAATCCTCATAAACATCACGGCTTTTGCGATATGCTTTAGCCACAAGGCTCTTTTCGTGGCGCTCTACTTCTTTAGGTGAGTTTCACAACAATGCCGCCATACATTTTTCTCAAACCCGCCCGCAGTTTCGTTTGCGATTATTTCGATGGACGCTTTGCCCAATTGCTGAATCAAAGTGAGCGCCTTGTTGTTTGTTTTTTTTTTTTTTTTTTTTTTTTTTGGCCTTCTTGTGTAAAACAAAGCTTTGCTCTACAGGGTCGACATTTGGAGCTGTTCTCGACATGGTCACGGATAGGTAGTGCCGAGAATTTGATTCAATCAAGCTATAATCGCTGTTCCTTCTTTGTTCTCGTCAACAGGGTCAGCACTGCAGCACTTCTCGTCATCCTTTCGCATCTCTTCTCGTAAGATTTCTCAGTTTTTCGCTTGGTTTGAGGGATTTTTCTTCTGATAGTTTTCCATACCAGGAACGCATATCTCCTGTTTGTGGGGCTTCTCGCCCTCGACATCTCCAGCCACTGGCTCCAGATGTACAGGTTTGTTCTTCACAAAACGATTGAAAATACAAATGCGGCTAAACTTCTTTCATTTTTTCTTTCGTAGTACGTTTCTCTCCAACAAAACCAGCCACAAGGACGTGAACGATAGCAAGAGCCTTCTTCTTCGACTCTACTATCAGTACCGAGCTGTGATGGGCTACTGCGCTATCGGCGCAGAGGTTCTATACCTCGTCTTGTATCTCTTGGGAGATGGCTCCAAGGATCTCACAGAGGTATGTCTCAAACTCTCTCGCATTCCATGTTTGATTTTCTTGTTTCAATCTAGGTGGTGCTCACGGCTGCTGCCGAGAAATCAGTGTTGTTCTACGTGGGACTATTTGCATTTCCCGGCTGCGTGATCAAGCAGATAGTAAATCTCGTCCAGGTGAAGTTCTTCTTGCTCCTTTGCTTAGTTCTCACTTGGGTAGTGGTTTTCCAGATGAAAAGCGCGGCAGATTTGTGTGTGGTGCATGACTTGCAAAAGCCGCAGCAAAAATCCAGCTAGAAATCGGTGGTTTTTCGACGAAGTATAGCGAGTTTTTAAATCTAAGAAGCCCGCCCTATGGATAGATTTTAGGGCTCTTCAGTAAGAGCTAGGGCAGGATGGATGCGCTTGAGGAGAGTGTCTTGGCGAGCGTCTGGCGCCAGGGTGGATTTGCGTTCTGCCAGCTGATGAGGAAATGCCGTAGCGATCCTTCCATGGCAGAGGAGGCGCACGATCTGGCGTGGGAGCAGCTCCATTTGGGGGATTGGCACCAGGTCGATTGTGCTTGGCGGGACGGGTATGCGTTGGCTTGCGTGTACTGGGCGGAGGAGCTGCGCAGAAAGGGCGATCACGCTGAGGCCACCAGAGTTTTGGATATGGGATTGATGATGGGAGGCTTGGCTTTTCGCCCCCGGCTCAATGCAGCGATCTCTTCGCTTTCGCAAGCTTCGGAACCACCCTCTGCTGTTCGTGGAGACGATCAGCTCACAGTCCAGGTAGCCTCTAGTACTTCTTTTTGTCCTTTCGTGTATGATGCTCATCCTTTGATATTTTTTAGGCTGAAAGCTTGCCGCCGGGATCGCTGCAAGGACCACCAATGCGAACTATGGCATTTCCATCGATCCAAAAGTTTCTGCAAGAGCTCTTTGCACCGGGTGTTCCTGCAATCTTGACAGACACAATGGCGCATTGGCCTGCGATGGAGAAATGGAAAGACTTGAGCTACTTTCACAAGATCGCTGGAAACCGGACAGTTCCAGTAGAGGTAACACCGTTGCATCCTTTCACTTTCCTCGTCTTGAGCGAAACTTTCAATCAGGTAGGCGAGACATACTTGGCGGAAGGCTGGAAGCAAGAGCTCATGACTATGTCTCGCTTCCTAGATCGAATCCACGATCCTGGAGACTCTACTTCAAGAGCATATCTCGCTCAGCATCCGCTGTTCGATCAGGTGTGGTTTTGAGTTCCTTGTTCCGTCTTAAGTTGGTTCAAACCGTTGATAGGATTAGGCTGCCAGATTCCCGAGCTACAGCGCGACATAGTGACTCCAGATTACTGTGCTTGTGGCGATGGAGAGCTTCACTCGATCAATGCCTGGTTTGGTCCCAGCGGTACCGTCACACCTTTACACCACGACCCCCACCACAACTTGCTCGCCCAAGTCGTCGGTACCAAGTACGTGAGGCTTTACTCTCCAGAGCTCTCGGACTCTTTGCACCCCTTCAGCGATCCAATGCTGCAAAACTCTAGCCAGGTTTGAGTTTGTCAGGTCTTCCATCAGTGCTGAAAATTCTCTCTTGTCCTTTCCAGCTCGATCTTGACAAACCAGACTATGAGCGCTTTCCTCTGGCGGAGAAGCTAGCTTTTGTCGACTGTGTTCTTGGAGAAGGCCAGATGCTTTACATTCCACCGAAGTGGTGGCATTACGTCAAGTCCCTCAGCCCAAGCTTCTCCGTAAGCTTTTGGTGGCGATCTTCCTAATGAAAGAATGTGTGCTCGATACGAAGTTTGAGCATAGAAAGAGTGGTGGATCAAGTTTTCGTGGGGAACAAGAAGAAGGTGGTGGCGCTTCTTCACTCCAATAAGATCTACAGTGTGGTGACTCTGAAAGAGTGAGGATCTCCGTGGCTTGGCAGAGGTCTTCTCGCTCCAGGTAAGAAAATGCCCAGCGAGTGATCATCTAAGATTTCTCGGAATGGTTTGCAGCGGATCTCAAGCGGAGGCAAGGGCGCGATGGGAGGCAAGGGCGCGATGAGAAGCTGAGGCTCGAGTTTTGGTCGATAGAAATTCCAAAAACGAAGCTTTGCTCTATGAGGGGGTGCAGGGGTCGCCAAGCTTCTCTATAAGCTTTTGGTGGAACTCTACCAGAATATGCGACATTTACTGATGGAATGTTCTCGCCTTGTAAGAACCCTATTTTGTGTTGAGAATGTGTGCTCGATGAGGGAGGGGTTTTAATCGCGGCGGGGAATGGCGTGTGTGGCGCCGATGCCGCACAACATTGTGCTTGCAAATCCTCGCGATCGCCTCGTTCGATTGGGCGCGCTCTGGTCTGCCGCTCGCCTAGCTTCGTCTTGGTGGCCGCGCCTCGATAGGCGCCTTTGCGCCGCTGCAATCCAGGTATTTCTCACATCTCTTATAGGTAGACTACATTTTTTTCCGTGAACATTCGTTAAGTTTTACTGGTTTGTCACTTCGTTTTCAGGATAGAAATGTGGCTGGAGTGAACGATCTCTCTGGGCTGCCTTCTCAGCAGCGCTTCTTTGATGTGATCTTCCTGGGAACAGGGACTAGCGAAGGTGTTCCAAGAGTTAGCTGTCTTACAAATCGCTATAAGAGATGTCCTGTAAGTTATCGAGTATCATCTTTTGCAGTTCTTGTTGTCGCTCACGATGATCCGATCTTGTACAGGTCTGCTTCGCTGCCTTGCAGGTCGGCAATAAGAACAGGAGGCGGAACACAAGCATTATCGTACGCTACCCAAGGCGCGATGGAACCAGGATGAACATACTCGTTGATGCTGGCAAGTACGGCGAAATCTAAAAACTATCATCTGTGAGTACTGTATTGTTCCACCACTTTTCTGTTCTGGTGTTGCATTGGATGACTGACATTGCTAACTTGCGCTGGTCCCGAGACTGAATTTTTCGTGTTCCTATGTAGGTTCTTCTACCACAGTGCGCTTCAATGGTTTCCATACTACGGGTGAGACATGGTTTTTGTTTTTCCTCCCTCTCTATCTCATTTCTCGAGATCTTCCTGACAGATTAAGGCACCTTGACGCTGTTATTATTACCCATTCTCATGCGGATGCTATTGGCGGTAAGTTTGTAAAGTTTCTGGCACTCTTTTTCAATTGTGCAAGTGTTTTTTCAGGCTTGGATGACCTTCGCGACTGGACGAACAACATACAAGACTCGATTCCAATATATGTCGCCCAAAGAGATTTGGAGGTGTTGTGAGCTCTTTACGCAGACGAGTGAAAGCTCGACCGAATTCGTTCTTTGCAGGTCATGGGAAAAACTCACTACTATTTGCTTGATCCGACCGTGATCACGGAGGGAACGCAAGTTTCCAAGCTTCAATTCAAAGTGATTGATGAACAGCCATTCTTTGTCGAGGACGTGAAGGTCTGGAATATGTTATCCTCTGTTTCTTTAGTTTGATGATTGCTGGACTGCTCAGGTTACACCACTGCCGGTTTGGCACGGCCCTGGATATCGTTCTCTAGGATTTCGAATAGCAGACATGTGTTATATCAGGTAAACAGCAAATTTACAGTCGGACAGGGTCCTTGTTGCTTGCGTGTCCACTTGCAGCGATGTGAGCGAGATTCCAGAGGAAACATATGCACTTCTACAAAACTGCGATTTGTTGGTTGTCGTAAGTTCGCGTTCTTCCTCTAGATCGACGTTGTTAGTAGTGTTTCTCACGATCATGTCATGCAGGATGCACTGAGACCCGATCGTCCCAGTACGACACATTTTTCTCTTGACCAGGTTTGGATTTGTTCTTGTAAATTCGCAAGAGAGACATTCTTCTCCTCTGTTTTCAGGCTTTAGATGCTGTGAAAAGAGTACATCCCAAGCGCACGCTCTTTACAGGTACTCGTCTTTTTCTATCTTGGTTTTGAGAGCTTAGCTTTGGTTTCAGGGATGATGCACACGATGGATCACGACAAGGTAAATAAACAATTAGCCGACTTGAAACATTCCGAGGGCCTTGATGTCCAGCTAAGTTTTGATGGACAGCTCGTGCAATTGCGGCTGTGATCTTTTGAATTGTTAAAGCCTGTAGTTGAGATTAGTTCAAATCTTCACAAAGGGTGGCAAGAGGGGATCTTAATGGAGTGTGCCAGGATGGCATTTGCTTCGAGAAGGCATTTTGTATCTCGGTATGTTGTCTTGGAAATGCAAAGGGATGTTTTTATGAGCATTTTCCTCAGACCACGCCACCACGAGACGATTTGCAATATTAGTTGAGGATGCTCAAGAATGCTGGCCCTGGATGTCTTAAGCGGCAGAAATTACCCCAGGTGGCCATTCTCATCTCTTCCGGGCAAAGGTATCCTTCCAGATGCTTTTCTCCTGATAGAGCAGATCTTCATCAGAAAAAATTATAAGACAATCACCATTCGTTCAGCTCTACAATCGGTTCAAGTTAGACTGTCACTATTCCGAGCTGGTGGAACTGATCATCGGCAAGTCTGGGAACAAACACGAACCATTTCCAGGCCATGCCAGGCATCCAGTCCGTCAAGATGAGCTCGGCGGCGCTCGCTGTTCAGGTGAGCGGCAGTTCATGCTGTTGTCGTGGAGATCAGGAAGCTTGCAATCAGCTCAGTTCCGGATTTCATATTCCTATGCTATGAAGCTGAGGGTTTCTCTTCACCATTTCCAATCAGGCTTAATCGTGTGAAAACGACGATACAGCATCGCTGATATCTTCTGCGTATGATCCTGACAAGGTAGTCCATTTGTGGTACAGGTATACCCTTCTTTTTTGTTTCTTCTCTTATACCTGCCATTTTATGTGCTTTCAGGCAAGGCGGACGGTTCGAACCAGAATCACAACCAAGACGACAAAAGAGAGCATGAGTCGCAATGACTATAGCAACCTCATTTCTAGGTACGTTATGGGATCAGAGAGCATGAGTCGTACTGACTATAGCAGCCCATATCCAGGTGCTTGTATGCGATCAGCACTTCAACTTCAGAAGGAAGTCGAGGTTAAACTTGGTAAGACTCTGTTTTTAAGCGAGTGGTGGCTCTCTAGAGCCTTATAGTTTATAGTATCTAATTAGAATCCAAGCATTGGGTTTCGGGGGGCTGTCCCCGCTGATCGGTGCCTCTTGCTGGAGGAGATCTGCGAGGGCTGGATCATTGAGCGAGGAAATCCAGGCATCCAGCCGCTTGGTCTCCAGAGAAGAAAATGCAAATCGTGAGCTAGAATTCCAGTTACTTCCCCGTCTTTAGAATCGATTGCCATCTCCGATTCTTGCTGGAGGCTCTACTCGCTCCGATTCATCAAGCTCGTCCTCGGCGAGGCTTTATTTTCCTCTATACATCGGATCTCTTGTCGACGATGAGAACAGCAGCTGCGGCGCCGTCCAGATGAGCGCTTGGAGACAATGCCCTCTGCCTCGTTCCTCCACCGAAGTCTTACAAGCTCGGACTATAAAACCACACCTAGCTAGGCTCCACAATGGACTGTAACTCTTTGTTGAAGAGGTAAAGCTCAGCCAACTCGAACCACTCTAGCAGCACTGTAAATCTCCCTTTCAGTCAATGGTCATGTTTTCTAGTCTTGCTAGAAGAAATTTAGAGTAAATGTCGTTGTAGTATAGTGGTGAGTATTTCCGCCTGTCACGCGGTCGATCCCCGGCAACGGCGAGATTTTACATGTTCCAATGCATATAAGCTTGATGTTCATTCCTTCAAACGGAAGAAGGAGAGATTGGGATGATTAAATTAATGTAGAGGATTCCAGAACAAGAAAGTCGGATATATAAAGAGAGTGTTTTCACGTCTTTTTTCCTTTTTTGTTTTTTCTTTTTTTTTAGCTCAGGTCTAAATCTCTTAAGGCGCACAACCTCTACTTGATCACTTTTCCTGACTTCTTCATGACGCTGAGTCATAGTCTTGAGAATCTGGATTACCTCGTCATTTGCTCTACCAAGCATTACATAGTCAAAACTGATAACATGGAATGTGTGATTCAGCGTCCCACCAGGAAGTAACTCCCCTCCGAGGTGTTGAAGTAGCTCGATGTACAACACACAAACACAAAGTCCAAGAATAACTGCGGCGGCGGCAGTGGCTGCTTGTGCCTGTGGCTGCACAAGAGCTACTACATCCAGCACCCACTCCTTAAGGGCGTTGAAGGCCATAAACTGCTCTTCAGAATGCTTGTGCTTGTCGACATTTTCAGTGAATTGCACCCCAATCAAGTGAAGTCTGCCATCCGTAGATGAACACAGCGTCTACCCAGCTATAGTTGAACTAGATCGGAATGTATATATACCTTTCATGGTAATTGTAAAGTTGTTTGAAATTTGTATGCTATGTTTAGATATTCATCATCGCACAATTACTTACATAACCATACACACACCAACCAACCGATTATAGGCCTTACCAATGCCAATCCCACCCATGGTCCATGCTCCTCTTGGGCCTTTTAAAACTCCTCTACGTAGATCTGCTCCACAAAAGGTGAGCAGAACTCGTTATCTAACAGTAAGTACCTGGGATCCTGTTTGATCATTTCCACTGGCAGGTGGAAGTTGCAAGTTATATCCTTCTCCACCCTATCAACAACCTCTTGCACTGATTTCTGGATGCTGGACATTGTACCATTAATAAAGCGTAAGAGCACCTTATTCCAATCGGCCTCGTCTTCCAAAAGTATAGAGACTTCTTGTGGCTCCAACTCAGCTACTGGCTTAACTGTCCAGCCGTCGCCCCTGATTTGTGTCCGCCTGCCTTCTTGATCCGAGCTATCTCCATGCAAGCCTTGTCCAGCTGATCCAGAAACAGAGGATGGAAACCAGCGTAAAAATCCATGTCCTTGGTCCGCTGTGGATCTTCACTTACAACGGCTCCCAGTACGGAGTGAGGAAGGACTTTTCTTTGTTCCTGTAAAGACTAGGATTAGTTGACGAGAACGATAAGTAGAGATACGAACACCATAAACCTCGGTAAAACCCCTGACACGATAGAGCACTACTCCCTCCGAATGACTCTTGGCGGCAGCCACAGCTTGCTGCGCTTCAGGAGACAAGCGGCTGCCCTCTCCTTGAGAAACATTTGTAGACTCCTCCTCACACTATGGATCCTCTCTTCTTCCATTTTCCAAAGCGTTTCAAGAACCGGCTTCACCCGAGTATGCAAAGAGTAGCCCATCAAGTAGCCATTTCAGCCGGCGATCTGGCCCTCTCCATGTTCCACACACAAACGATCACACTCTTCTCTGGACCACCCCTGTAGAGCGCCGCAGCCATTGCCCTTAACAGGCAGCTTTTCCGGGTGCCCTTGGGGCCGACAACGAGCAGCTCTTCCTCGGGTTCAAGAGACAGGCAGTGTTCATCCATGTTCGGTGACCCTACGAAAAGAAAAGACTTTCCCGGATCACAAGTAACGACGGTGACTTGGTTGGGATCGAGTAGACCCGGGCAGTTGAGCTCTTGATCTGTAGCCAAGATGCCTCTATTGTATCAGATTTTCAACTCTACAAGCTTTAAAGGGAAAAGGCCACAGCCAAAGAACACTTGAAACAACACCAAATATCTAGCAAGTTGCTAGCGAGGAATTTAGTCTGACAGATAAGTGTTTTCCTTCAGTAACAATAAATAGGATTGTGGCAAGCTTCGACCGTACTACGACGGAGAATCTAGCTCTAAATCTTCCATGTTCCACAGTTATCTTCGAAGTACAGTCCCATGACATTAGAAGCTCAGGTATCCCAGAACAGCATCAACTCTTAATTTGAGCGAAAATTTCAGGGACGATAAGAAATGGACCATCTTAAGCCCAGTAGGCAAAGAAAGTGCCATCAGAATTATGTTGGAGATTTTGATTTGTTCTTTTGGGAAAAAAAATTAAAGAACATCTTTGAATTATCAAGGGATTGCATGCCATAATTTCACACCTAGTTTCTCCAAACCAGTGATTCAACAAAGTTCCAGCAAACAAAAGTAAAACTTTCTGTATGGCTTAGGGGATAGTGTTGATATGAGGCGACACATAGGTTGAAGCGCCTTGGATCGGTTTTCCAAATGATGTCAAAGCCTTCCTTCAGCTTTCTTTCCTGTTCGTAAAACTTGATAAGTATCATTTTGATAATCAAGTGGCAGCTCCACCTGATGGACAGATCCATCTCATGACAAGCAAATTTTTTAAAGGCAGCACTGTTGTCACAGTGGCTCACGGGTTCTCCAACATCTTGCATGCAGGTGGGTTCTTCATTTCCCTCTTTTCTTATCATGATTCAAGAGATACAGTCAAGTTTGATACGCCATGAGATTTGCCAATTTTTTGCGAGAGTATCAAGACTTAACGCGATTAGATTAAGTTAATGTTTTAGACAAAAGAGCATCCCCGTGTACGAATTCGATTGCAAAACGAAACGAAAGTTCTAAAGTAATATACACCTTGCATTTTCTCGAGGAGAATTTTTACCTTCGGCCTTTTTCACCGCACAAGGCATGCGACACATACAGTGGACACGAGCCGAGCCGGGAACTAGTTTTTGCCACGTACGGGCCTTATACAGTATAAATATCTGCCATCTCAAATGTAAAGAAAGTAGTTCATTTGCACAGTTTATTTTTTCCTAGCTAGCTCGCAGCTCAAAAACAATGGCACTCGTCTCAGGCAGCAGCATCGCAACTCTCTCTTCTTCCTCTCTCATCTCCAACAAGCTCCACCTCCAATCCCAATTGCCCACGAGCTCCAGCTCGCGAAATCTAGTAGTGAGAGCGTCCTCGAACAAATCCAGGGATGGTGGCGATGGCGGCATCAGTGGCATCCTCGACGACACCAAGAAGGAGATCACCCGCGAGGAAGTTCTCAAGAACCAGGCCGAGAACGAGTCGGAGAAGCGCTCAGTGTTTGGCGCGGTGCCATCGTCCGGATCGCTCTATCCCAGGCCAGAGGTCGAGAGGCGACCAGAGACTGGCGATCGATCGTTCCCCAGCTTGATGGCGTTCGATGGAGCCGGCCCGGAAACGATCAACGGAAGACTGGTAAGCGATTGTTGGTTGTTCTTCTAGATCTTGGCAAGTAACTTCGTGAACTTGACAAGCAGGCAATGATTGGATTGGTGTGGGCATTCGCGGTGGAGCGAATGACGGGACAAACGGTGGCGGAGCAACTCTACTCGCCGGGGAGCACTGGTCTTTTCCATTTCCTGGCGGTGGCACAGCTATTCGCGTACGCGTCGCTGGTGCCCATGTTTAAGGGCGAGAGCCCGGACAGCAGATCAATTGGGCCATTTAGAGCCATGGCGGAGCGCTGGAATGGGCGAACCGCGATGCTTGGCTTCCTCGCCTTGGTGATCACCGAGTTTTTCACCAAGACTCCAGTGTTCCACATGATGTAAATTTCCCCTCGAAACGTAATTGCCATTCTTTAGCAACTTAAAGCAGGCCCACAGATGGTAGGACCATGTAAACGTCCGCCGATGAGAGCCAGTCTACAGTTGGTCTCGGTTTCTCTTGTGTGATGTAAATTTGTAAATATAGCGTTGTGTTTAAATCATTCCTGGTCCCAAAACTTCTCCACGCACTGCTGCTCTTGTAGTGGTGCAAGCCTGCCAGGACGAAACTACAAGGAATTAAAAACTTCCATTATGAGTTCATT